GGGGTCTCACTTTTGGGGGATCCTCCCCCATTTGGGGGTGCCCCCCCATTTCTGGAGGGCGATGGCCTCCATTTGGGGCTTGTCCCAAATTTGGGGGTGTCCCTCACCTGGGGGGTCTCACTTCCGGGAAGGTGACAGCTCTGGGGTCCCGTTTGGGTGGTCCCAATTCTGGGGGGTCCCAGGTGTGTCCCAAGGTGTGCCAGGTGTGTCCCAACCTTTGTCACTTCTGCCGTGTGTCACCTGTGCCATGTGTCACCTGTGCCATGTGTCACCTGTGCCATGTGTCACCTGTGTCATGTGTGTCACCTGTGTCATGTGTCACCTGTGCCATGTGTGTGTCACCCGTGCCATGTGTCACCTGTGCCATGTGTCACCTGTGTCATGTGTGTCACCCGTGCCATGTGTGTCACCTGTGCCATGTGTCACCTGTGCCATGTGTCACCTGTGTCATGTGTGTCACCCGTGCCATGTGTGTCACCTGTGCCATGTGTCTCCCGTGTCATGTGTGTCACCCGTGTCATGTGTGTCACCTGTGCCATGTGTCACCTGTGTCATGTGTCACCTGTGTCATGTGTCACCTGTGCCATGTGTCACCTGTGTCATGTGTCACCTGTGTCATGTGTCACCTGTGCCATGTGTCACCTGTGCCATGTGTGTCACCCGTGTCATGTGTGTGTCACTCTGTCATGTGTGTCACCCGTGCCATGTGTCACCTGTGTCATGTGTCACCCGTGCCATGTGTGTGTCACCCGTGTCATGTGTGTGTCACCCGTGCCATGTGTGTCACCTGTGCCATGTGTCACCTATGTCATGTGTCACCGGTGTCATGTGTGTCACCCGTGTCATGTGTCACTCTGTCATGAGTCACCGTGTCATGTGTGTCACCGTGTCATGTGTGTCACCTGTGTTGTGTCACCGTCCCCGTGTCATGTGTGTCACCCGTGCCATGTGTCACCCTGACATGTGTCACCTGTGTCATGTGTCACCCTGACATGTGTGTCACCTGTGTTGTGTCACCGTCCCCGTGTCATGTGTGTCACCCGTGCCATGTGTGTCACCCTGTCCCCGGCGCCCCCGGTGCCACCGGCAGGGACAGGACCCTGGACAGGGACAGGGGAGGGGACAGGGCCGGGCCTGGGGACAGCACCATGGACAGGGACAAACAGGGACAGGGCTGGGGACAGGGACAGGGGGACAGGGGACAGGGGGACAGGACAGGGACAGGACAGGGCCGGGGACAGGGACACGGACAGGGCTGGGGACAGGGCCAGGGGGACAGGGGACAGGGCCAGGGCCGGGGACAAGAACGGGACAAGCTCCGATGCTCCAAGACTTTATTGCCGCCCGGACCCCGCGAGCCCGGGGTTCCCCCGAGGGGGAGGCCACGGCCCGTGGGGGTCCCCGGGACACTGGGGGGGTCCCCTGGGGGCTCGGGGGGTCCCCCCATCCCCACTCGGGGCTCGGGGGGACGCGGCCCTGCGAGCTCCTCGGTGC